TGTGTGTGTGTATCTAAACAAAGATCTGCACACAAATCATCTTCTGAGAGAGAACTGAACGTCTGGCTGTGAAGAAGCAGCAGAAACAAGCGGTTGCGTATGTGAGCAAACGAATATGTAAAATAATGCGATCATCAAACATCCTGATGGAAGCAATCCCCTTCTGATCATCGATCTGAATCTGATCCGGACATAGTCTTACAAAAATGTGATTTTCTCAGCTTACCCACATTCAAGTGCCCTGTTCTTTCTTTTGGTATAGTTCATGTTCAGATATTCATACAACAAAATATTCCGAGAGTCACTCTATTAATAATGTTAAGAACGCAGTTCAGATGTAGCATATGCTGTATATACTGCACGAGTGATGAGCAGAGCAGTCTCTAGAAGCTGTATTTCTCATGGTACTCGTGTCTTGTGGTCATGAATCACTTTAGCTGCTGCCTTACTTTAGATAAGTGTCTAGTAAATGTAGAAATGAGCAATTGTGAGGGAAACGATTCAGTAAAATCATACGATTCACCGTAAGACTTTAAGATTGTAAAATGTCAGTTTTCAGAATGTTGTGAATGAAGATGATTCATTCTCCCAGAGATTTAGCAGATTTATATGAAAAGTATCAGCAGCTGCAGAGCATCTGATCTTCACGAGCGCAGAATGCTGTGAGATCTTGCTCTTCCAACAAGACACTTGTGAGGTCCACGCCATTGGCCCAAGGAAGGCATCCGATGGTGGCTGAAGGTTTCCTGCGTGTTTGGTCTTTTATTACATTAAAGTGATTACATTTAGGTTGAATTCTAATCCGACTCCATTTTATTATGACCTCAAATTTAGGTTGAAATGCCAGTTGGTTGTTTGTTCATTTCTAATTATTATTATTATTCTGGCATTTGATTATTCTATTGCGCTCTTTAATCGTATTGAATCTCATTAATCGTATTCCTATAACACTTTGAGTCTGGTACCGGCCGGAACTCGTCAGTCTCGGTCATTAGACAGAGGCGATTGATAATATTCTAGATGGCCCGGGCCATACTTTGCTCATTCTAGAATACTTTTATTAGTCCCCATAGATCTGTAAACACTTAATTAAGGTAAGACTATATCTAACCAGAGGTCATGACCATTACTATAGAACCAAGTTGACCAACTTAACTTCTAAGTAACTTTATATAATCATGCCGTGATTTCTCACGTACACTTAGTTAGAATAATGTTACAATAACCAGAGGTTGAGGCTGACCCAAATTTAGGTTGGTCAACAACACACTGTTGCTCTAAACGGAAAAACCCAATAGCCTCTACAGTCTAAGTATACATAACTAGTGCCAATGTGTTAGCCGGAGCTCTGAAACATCAGTTTAGTCTGTTGCTAACCTGAGCGCAGATTTGCAGTGTTATAGACTTAGCACAATTAATCAGAGTCAATGATCTCAGAGTAAATCAGAATGAAAACAAGTATAACAATTTATTATTAGTCAGGTGAATATGTATTATGCCAATTCAAAGATATCAAATCAATACAAGACATAAAATTCTCAAAGATGAAGCTAAGAGTAAGATGAAGACTTGAGACAAACACATAGTATGACGTGCGTGAACACACTTTATACCGCAGGCTCATTCCGGCTACTGAAGGCCCCGAGCTTCTTCCAACATTTCCTGAAGAGCTTCTGACCAACACAGACATCCCCTGAAATGGAGACAGGGACTAACAATTGGAATTTGCATTGATCAAGCGGAGTTAACACCGTTTGGGACAGAAGGTAGTTTGCATGAGACACTGGGAGTAGTCTGTTTTCAGTATGTTCTAATCTTGATGGCTATTCTATTGTTAAGAGAATGAGACCTTTTACAGACACACAGAGACCTTTCCAATGACATCAAACACGAACAGTTGCATTGTTAGTCTGATTAATAGTGGTTTCAGTGACCTCTAGTGTAATCGTTCATAAGGTGAGAAACTGTTGTCTCTCTCAGTTGGGTGTGTTGTGTTGAATGAGGATGTGAGGCTTGTTAGACAGTGTTCAGACGCTGATTCTCATAAGAGTTCTTTGTCTCTTCAGACTGTGGCCCTCCTCCGGTCCAGACAAATGGCATCAGCTTAACAGTTATCAGTGTCTGAGATTCTCTAAATCTTACAATGCTTAGGGCTATTGAACAGAAAACAGAAATCTGTCTCCGGTAGGCTTCGTTTGTCATTCCTCTCTATCTGAAGAAGCCAGAGACGCGGTTCAACACGGACCTTCCTCTTCTGCAGCTTTCCTAACAACAGACAGCAGAGTGAAGAAACATCATTTACATGACAAATAACACAGGCATCACTCCTTAAAGTAAACCCACTTTATTTCCAAAGAAAGGACCATCAGGAAAATACAGGACTTCCTGTCATAGAGAGAGAGAGAGGACATACAGTACAGTGCCACGACTGAAAACAGACAACCAGCTTCAGAAAGCCAAAGCAGCGCTGAGGAAACACCATCCGGATTATTATCACCTGCTAATCAACAAGAATTATGGCTGAAACTATGATAAAAAAAAACTTCAAATAAAACAGTAATGAACATTAGATTTACAAAACTTTGCTTGTTTTTTCCAGCTGAATTTATTTCAGGTCACTATATCAGGGCAAGAACTGAAACATCACAATGGCTAGCTGTGTTTAACTGTGTGAAGAGCTGAGAAACTCTCCAAGTTAAAGCTTAAAGAAAGCGCCAAAGCAGTTCTCATTTCGTGGCCGTTTCTAAACACGTACCTCCTCATAATCACAGTCCGTGACCAAGATGGTCTTTCACATCCGACTGAAGGTAGTGTTTCATCACGGCCATCTTTACTCCTCCGTTTGTGATGGTGATGAAATCCATGAATCTCTAAAACTCATTGGTCAAGCACACGAAAAAACGTACAAAACGATTCAAATGTCAGTTTTATGGCTGTGGTTTGTGGTCTGGCCGGTGAGTGGACAGTTCAGATTCAGTTTCCAGGTCCAATGCATGAAATGGCAGAACTAGTTTCACTCTCGGTTTCTCAAAACATAATGACGGTCAGGTTTGAGGTTTGGAGGCAGTGGAGATGCTCGTTAAACAGCCTTAAACTCCTTCACTCGTCATTCTGAAGCACAATTCAAACAACAGGAACGAGGCCACGGTCCTCCGACACACGGCAGAAGAAAAAGAGGATAAGAGACTAAAAAAATGAAAAGAAGAGAAGAGGCGGCGTGAGAGCAGACAAGATGATGAAAGAGAGGCAACAGAGAGCCACCGGACAGTCGTCATTAAACAGAGTAATTGATCTGAATCCTTGTGTTTGATGAGCCGGAAGCAGAACTGAAGCTGACGCAGCGGTGCACTTCATCAGACGCTCCACACAGAGCAAGCTCTCAGGAACCCTCCACATTACTGCTCAGAAAAACAAAACCCTAGAAATAAATACAAGCCATAAATAAAAAATACATGACAAAACAAAGCCACTGAGCGTTTCACCATTGTGTGAGCGAGAGACACGACAGCAGCGCTCCTCTCAGCGGAGTCAGGTTTGATTAAACTCTAGAGAAAGACATTTACACAGACTAGCAATAATACTGTAGACACTCGAGCCGTCCCTCATGCAGCAGGCTGCATCATCAGTGTGTTTGTCAGTCCTCCAGCGGCCAGAAACCCGACGCTTGTTCACCAGCTGAGCAGAGAGGTGCGTCCCAGCGTCATGAAGTACACCTGACTGGAGCCGCCGGAGCGCACCGAGGCGAAGAACACCTGCAGAACACACAGAGCGTCACAACAGCATACTGCAGCACCAGAGCTTCACCCAGTCTTCAGAGTATCTCACAGAACCCCTCAAGAGCCATCATTCACACCAACAGCAGAACACAGAAACAAGCACATTTACACTTTTTTACACAGTTATAACAGATCACATGTCTGGATGTTATTCTGAATGACGGTTCCCATCAGACTCGTATTACTGTTAAACATCATCTCCATCATTCTTAAAGCAAAATTGTGGTAATTCAAGATAATAATAGAAACTTCAGAAATATTTTTCATCTTCTTTACGCATCGCACAGGTAAAGCCCATGCACTGATTTGACGGTAAAAGAGCCTCCAAAAGCGCACCTTGTCATTCCTCTCACACAGAAACTTGAGTCGCTGTGCTCTTTTGTGCATGAAAACTCCATCCAGGTGGCCTGTTTCCACCGAGCGGATCTCTATGGCCTTCTCTCCCCAGCCCATGATCTGGTTAGAGCGGATATACGCTGCAAGACACACAAACACAATCACACACGCGTAGGTCAAGCTAGGCTACATTCAGTCTCATTGACTGGGTCTACTGACTGATTGAGTGCCGTAACAGATGCATTAAACAGATATTACAACATAAAAACATGAGGGCATCATTTAGCAGGAGTGCGTTTTGAGCAGAAATGTCTCCAAAGGAAAGCGCAGCAGTCTGACTGTGTCCGGCTTGGTTCATGACCACACCTGAAGACTGAGGCGCTTCGGTGCGAGGGAACCGGCACGGGATCAAGCCCCAGAAGAGATTAAACTGAGCAGATGTGGGCTACAAGCCAGGAGCAGCTCAATGGTGCAGTGGCTTCACAGTTTAATTCACAATTACATCTGATGCGATTCGATTCTGCATTCAGCATTATTAAAATGCTTCCCCTCGATTCTTTATAAGCTTAGTCCGGGGGCTATTACACAGCAGCCTTTATGGAGTCAGTGAGAAAAACACTTTTGTCCATTGTTAGATGTTAGTTTAATGATGCTATGGCATGACATATGGCATATGTAAAATTTACCCTAGTAAAAGAGTACTGTATTTTAAAAACATTTATTTCAAACTAAGTATAGTTCAAATCTATTCATATATTTACTTACATATCGCTTGAGACTTACTGATATAAACTTTATTTGGAGTTAGGGCTGTGATGTGATTGTCATGTGCATCTCGTCAGTAAAGCCGGTTCTGTGATTAGTAGTAAATCTCCAGCACGTGCTTTCAGATGGAGCGGCGTTTACTACACAGAGCCGTAGTTCACTGACAAGCTACGCAATATCACGTTCATAATCACAGATGAATGGCCTTCGATTATGAACGTGATGAGATACTGAGCTCATTCAGTCATTCTGTCAGCAGCGGGCCTCTCTACAAGCTCTACACGTCTCGAAAATCATTTTAATGAAGTCCAAAGTCACTGCTAGATCCTTAAAACTTAAACTCTCAAGATCAGACGGTGTGTCAGCGACTGAGAAGATCATCTCTGACTCACATTAACTCTCATGGCAGAAGTAAGGAGAAGAAGAAAATCAGTGCACAATGGGTTTTTACCTGCCTGAGCCCTAACAGCAGTATTGGCCATTTGAGCTGGCTATACAATAGCTCAGTAAATCACCACATAAAGAAGCTTCCAGTCACAGCACAATACAGGGTTCAAAGCAAACCACACGCAAGAGCTAACTATACTACACTGAAGTAAAGTAGTAGGATAAGCTTCTACATGGATATGGGAGTCCATAACAAATGCAATTTTGTTTAAATTTGCAAAAAAAAAAAAATCTGATTCCATGACCTTTCAAAATAGAAGAAAAATACACTTTAGAGTAGGGCTGGACAATAATTCAATATCAATATGTATCGCGATATAATTTTTTTCACTAATGGTGATATGATTTTTAAACACATTTCCGATATTTCGATATACATTACCAGTGTTTCCCATACATTGATTTATTTGCGCCGTTTGACTTCGTTGAATAAACATGAACTCTGCACGTTTCAAAATCATAACACGGCGCGGGTGTTTTATATGAATGTATCTCTGAAGGAGAAGGACTGTCTTCAGAAAAGTTTCAATGGCATTATTTGATCTGATAAAGTAGCGTTCATGAGCGGAGCCGCTTTGATTATAGCCGTTACCGGGGAAACCGCTAGTTCTACTGCTCTCACAGCGCCTCCTGCTGGCAGACAATCAGTTTGCATTTTCGATAATAAGCCCGTCTCCAGCAACATGATTCTGTTGTTGCTCAATTTTTTTGTTTTCTGCAGCGACTCGGAGCACTTTTCATACTCTTTATCCTGGCTGAAGCACATTTGTTTCAATCTATAAGAATAATCAGCCTACATTACCAGTCAAAAGTTTTTGAACAGTAAGTTCTTTAATGTTTTTTTTTTTT